GGCCTGGAGCCTGCTGGGCAGCGGGCGTAGCCGAGGATCCATCCGATACCACGTTGACAGGGGTTGTGGCGGGATTACTGCGGCCTGTGGATGCTAGCGTTAGCGAAGAGGCTACCTAATGATTACCTGCAGACGCAGGTCAAGATGGAAGCCGTACCATTGACACCATTTGCGGCGGCGGCAGTCTCTGGAGTCACGCCATTGAGCTGCTGCTGGCGTTGTTGCGCCTGAAGCTGCTGCTGGGCGAACCTCTGCTTCTGAAATACTTGTTGCCGTTGGACTGCTGAAAGCAGGTTATGGGCTTTGAGGTATTCGGGATCGTCATGGCGCACGCCTTGTTCTTGCATCTGCTTGTATTTCTTCAAGGGGGATTAGGTTTATGCCATGGAGAAGTTGAGACGAAGAAAGGAAGGGTGTGGTATGGTGGTACAAGGAAGAAGAGAGTGAAGGGCGGGTCAAGGCGGACGCACCTGCAGGACTTCTTGAATGTGTTGCTGCGTCAAGTTCGGCGGCAAGCTCATGTTTCCAGCCGCCATGTTGGGTGCTGACTGGAGAGAGGCCATGCTCTAGCGCGTGGTTGTTTTATTCATAAGCAACGCAGGAGACACGAGGGAGGCCTGGGTTGCGACAGGGCACAGTGGAGCGCTTAGGAAAACACGTGGGAATTGAGAGCGGCGACGGTAAATGAGAGATCGCGCGAGGGGAGCGATGGGGGGCGCTCAGTTACGAAAGTGAATGGATAGGAATGCCTATTTGTGGATGGATGCGACAGGTAGCGGCCTGTATCTGGACTTTGGCGACAAGTTTCGTGATGTTTAGGTCGGACCGGGGGAGATACAGGGCGGTAGGCGACAAACAGGAGAATCAGTAAGTAGAGAGAAAGGGGCGTCTAACGCGAAGAAGAAAGTGTAAAAATGACCCCAAAGGGGGGGCCGGGGGTGAGAATGGCGCGTGGAAGGCCAGTCTGGATGAAATGGAGATGGAGGGGACGGGGCTTTCGCGACTTTCCGTGCTGGTCGGGGAAACTGGCGGTGCTCTCAGCCTGTGCCTGTAACGAGGAGAGGGTAGGCGGCGAGACGTTGGAAGAAGATTTCGTGCCGTGTCACGTGAGACTGGGGATGGGGGATGGTGATGTCGCTGCTGGTTGCTGACTCAGCGACCGACTTTCGCGCGGCGGACTTGCCCGGGTGAACTTGTCTGGGGGCCGGCTTAGGACTAGCGGGGAAGCTCTCCCCAACCTCGGCCGATATGATGATTACAGCAACAAGTCAATTCAGTTAAGACCTCAAGCATCGAATTAATTTCCCCAAACCATCAAACTAGTCCCATACCGCAATAGCGAACAACAGTTCGATGCAATCCCTTCACTGTACAGTATAATTCAGAACCCCAGTGCTCACACACTGTCGCATCATCACCTTTTACCAAGATACACCACGAAGGAGAAGACTGCTTTTCTCACTAAGTCTCCACCCACTATCTTAAATACCACCTGCCAGCAGGCTGTAAATCAGACTCAAATGGAATTGCAGCAACGTAGATTTGCCCAGCAACCCACACCCCACAAAATGCCCTCCCACCTGACTACCATGTGCGTCAGAAACGTCCACACCCTACGCGTCACCTCCGATTGGGATCACCCTCTTCATAGGGGGTGGGGGAGGGGCGGGCTTCTTAGCGCGAGGGGGCGGGGGTGGGGGGGCCTTCTTGTGCAATGATGCGCTGTTAAGGGTGTTCGAGCTGGATCTTCTCGTAACTACGCTGCCATAGGATGGGCCCGGCGATTCGTTGCGTCCCATATAAGATCGATCTGGGCTAGTGCCGCTGCGTGGACTGCCATCCTCGGACGGATCCTTGTACGGATCAGCATATCCTCTACCGGCAGGGCGCGTTTGACTGCTGTTTCGGCGGCCAATGTAGTTCTCACTGGCTGACCGAGACGGCCACTGATACGGGCTGGAGGTGGAGTCCTGGCGCAATTGCGTAGGGCCCTCAAACGTTGAGGTCCTGCTCAGTACGGGCCGGCTCGAGTAAGCATCAGGCGGATAGACCTCTCTACCCGTCGGTTCTATCGAAGTGGCCCGGGAGGAGCGAATAATCGGCCGAACATCCACCCCATTGTGATCCTCCTCGTGCAACGGCTCGTAGCGATCGGCGAAAGAGTGTGCGGTGTTGGAGCGGGGACGGCCTGGGCGACGGCCATTAGGAGTCTGGGAAAGAGGTTGTCTGCCGGCTTGTTAGTTATTTAAACGCTTGGGAAAGAAGCATGGGCGGGGGCAGCTCACCTGCCAGGCCACTCGCTCTTGAGCTGGAGTAGCACCTCCTGGCATTTTGCGTGGTAGCTCAGTTGAGCATCCAAAAACGCCTCCAGATTGATTACGCCCTCGGCTTCCGAGTCCTTAATGTCCTGCATTCTTCGGCAAACGTCATCGTTGGCCTCTTCGTATTTGACCTTCTGAGTCCGCAACTCCTCCTCCACACGGAAGTCTTCCCTCTTCGCTTTCTCCATTTTGGAAAGCGATGTATCGTATGCCAGGCGGCGACCATCGAGCTTTTTGCGGGCAGTCTGCACTCCTCATCAGTACTCCTGCAACAAAATATTTGAGAATGATGGGTCTGGCTACCTGGTAGTCTTTCAATTGGGTTAAAGAGTGTTCGAGCGACTCGAGCAGCCCTGCATTCACCTGGGAGATGTAGGCATCCTGGAGGCGAGCCAAGCGCTCCTCCGCTCTACCAAGCACTGCACAGAAAACCGTATGAGCATACAACTTCACCCCACAGCATAAGGGGGGAATAACATACTGATCATGGAACGTCCATACTCAGAGTTTGCATCGAAGTCTTCACCGTGACCAACCATGCTGCTACCCAAATGGGCGATAGGCAGCGTCTTCTCCTTATCATCGCCTTCGCTGCGCTTCGAAATGGACTTAATATAAGCAGCAGTTGCCTTGTGGATGCGGTCGACACCTTTTTCAGGAACGAGAAATTAGCAGAGTCAAAAATCAGTGAACCGTGGGAGCAACCTACCATCGTGGCGCACGTTCATCTCCGTTTCCAAGGCTTTGAAGTCATCTGACAAATTGGTCTTAACTTCACCCCCCATTCTCTCGCCAGCCCATTGCTTGAAACGATCGAACTTCCGGTTGACGTTCATCTTGGTAAATTGCGGTGGTAGATATAGTAAAACAGGGGAACGAACGTGGCGAATAGAGGGGATGTGTCCAGCGATTCGAGGGTGGTTGGTGGTAGTTCGCAAGATCGAGTCAAGCCGATTCAGTGATAACGAAAAGAGTAGGTATTCAGTAAGAGCGAGATCGGATGAATCAGGTGTAAATAGAGACTCGCAGTGCTCAAGCAAGGCACGGCTTGGGTATCGACAAGAAGTGAAAACAAGAAAAGCGCCACGGCCAGGAGGCGAATGTGTGAAGAAATTTGGAGTGGTTCGAGTATAGCAGGGAAGGGCAAAACAATTAAAATGCGCTTTGTTTGCGACAAGCGGGGGGGAGGGGGAAAGGAAGAAGAGGAACTTGAAGCGGAGGAAGAGAAGAGAAAGAGGCAGAGGAGGTGAAGGTGGGAAGGTTGGAAAGGGGAAATTTCCTTGACCTTCAAGGTTGGGGTCAATAAATTATTTTTAATAAAAGAGAGTGCTAAGTTAGTACGTACTAGACTTGAACTAATTGACTGGATTTGACTTGACAGTGTGTTTATCCATTGCGGAATGACAGACAGCAACAGCAACTCTTCCTTTTCCCCCCATGCCAATCGCAAGCGGCCGATGTCCTGAGGTACTGCACTGGCTCGGGAGTACTGGAGGTAAGTACGAGTAAGTTAGTTACAGTACGGAGACTGTACTCAGTAGGACCGAAAGGCGCCACATTGCCTCTTGGTTTCCTAGCCAATTCAAATCACCCCCACCAACACTGAGTGAATCATTCTGATGGACAAACGTCCCCTGTGAGAAGAGGAGTGTGGGGGGGGGGGAGGGGCCAGAATGTCGAGTTCCAAGATCATACTACAGTGGCTCCGTCATACTCGTACTCAAAAAACCATAGTTGACCATATCTGACAGCAAATGAGTCAATTCGTCTAAGTTACTCCGTAAATGGTTCCTCTCCGATCTTTCCTTTATGGTCATATCTCCTGAGCCCTGAAAAAGTGCAGTTTGATGTACGAATTGATCAAGGAATGGAGCCGGTGGAGGCGGGGCCAGAACGCCAGGCGTTTGTTTGAGGTGTAGCTGAAACACAGGAGCATCACTAGTACAGTTCTTTACTAGACTGCTAAACTACAGTACAGGACGGAGTACCAGCCCATCGTATTCGTACCAATCCCCCATTCATCCATCCATTGTCGGACCTCGACCTTGAATGGCTTTCTCATGCTCGGGTTGTACTACCTTTGGTTGTGTGTATCACTCCACTGGCAAGTTGCAACCCTCATAGGTTGGAACAGGTTTAACAACAAAGCAAGTGACACGCGTTGGTGGGCCATTGAAGTGGAGATCCGAACGCCCGTCAAAAAACTTGGATTGGCCGCGATTCGCTTTGCCACCAGCTCGAACAGTCGAGTCAAAACGAAGTTCTATTTACAGAAACACCAAGGGTGGGTGGGTTTGAGAAGGGGGGGGGAACAAGTGCTTTCTCTGCTACGAGATTTGGAACAGTGATGAGGAATGTCTTGGATTTGATTTCGCAGGGTGTGTCAGACTGTCAGTCATACTCGAAAAGCGCATTGATCATCAGCCAATCCCTGCCCGTCGCGTCGGCAGGATGATACTAAGTATATTGTAGCATATCATATCGGAATATGTATCTCTGGTGGGGAGAGTTATAGTTGCTAAAAAGGTATCGGATGAGAACGGCCCCGGCGCGAAGTTCTCCTCGTAGTTGGGATGAAATGTATGGATTCAAATGCACAAGGGAGAGAGCCTGCGTATTCCAGACTTCTTCAGACTCAAGACCGATTTTGCTCAGTACCGTACAGTGGGTGGGTGCCCTGACGGGTAGATACGGGGTGGGAACTTGGAAAGGAAATGCTATCCACCATCATGGATGGCTACTTACTATGTAGACTATTGCTCAACATGCCATTTGCAGATCATACTATGTAAATTATGATGCAAGATGTTATCGATGCATCTGGAAACTTCAATTGAAAACAAAAACAGCTGATCCTCTCCAAAGCCGAAGCCGGGGATTTTCATATGCGAATGCTACTCTGTGCAATTCTAATCTGTATTTGTACAATTATCCTTACCCGTTGCGGAGCTCTTCGACTTACGAAACCACCCTTTTTTTTCTATGTTAGAAGTCCAATCTTTGCTGTTCAATTGATCTATGTTGATCAGGGAGGCTTCTCTCTCCTCTGGGTTACTGCCGACGCAACTCTGGCTTGTAATAGACAATTGGCGTACTGTAATCAACCACGCAATCACCTCTTAGTTGATTCCGAGGCAGGCCCCATAGAGGGAAGATATATAAAGTCGATACATTCATCCAGCCCAGCAAAGACGTTTATCCACCACTTTTCTGCCCCGAGTACATGTGATAATAGTATATTGTAAGCATCATGGCCACCTAGGCCGTATAAAGAGCAGCCACAATAGCCCAAACGACGACAAAGTTCGAAAGATGAACATGAAAAAAAAAAAAAAACGAACATCAAAACCGAAGGCCCATCATGCCGTGACACCATATAAGTTAACGCCCATTCCCCAGAGACTAATCGATTACTCAAACTTAGCAGCATCATAACCATCACCATCATCGAATGATAAGCCAACCCCATGCCAAGCATGCAGTTCACCCAGTGGCTGCACCTCCTGCATGGAGACGAAACCAGTCTCGGCGGCAAACAATGCTGCATCAAAGTCATTCCACGGCCGGATCAGCTCCTCCCCAACGTCGGCGCTACGACTGATCCCATCAACGGCAACCTCCAAGCCAGCGCAGGGCTGAAGCTGGCGCACCGTCCCTATTCCCGACGCCCCGTAGTTCGTCCCCTCCTTCTCCTGCTGCAACAGCGACACCTCCGTCTTCGCCGTCGCCGTTGTCGCTGCTGCCACCCACCCAGCCTTCATTTTCTCCATCATCCCAGCAACATACCTCCCCGGCGTGATGCCCATGACCTTCCTGAACACGCGATGAAAGTGACTGGACGTGAGCCCAGCCTCGGTCGCAAGGATGTGAAGCGTGGGCTTCGACCCCGACTGGACTGCCGACGCGATCGTCTGACATGCTCGGTGCACCAGCTGAACCTGAGGACTACTACAACCGCTGCTGCTGCTCCTGCCGCCGCCGTCAGTCTGCAGGGTCTCGGGTCTGCAGCGCTTACACGCCCGGAACCCTGCCCTCTCTGCCTGGGAGGGCCGATCGTAGAAGCGGACGTTGGCCCGTCGTGCGAGCCGGGCAGGACAGGAGGCGCGGCAGTAGATCTTGGTCGTTAGGACGGCGTAGACAAATGTGATGGCGGTGGAATCACGCTTGACGACGGCCTGCCAGCGCGCGGAGGCGCAGGCCAGACCGGGTGGTGGAGGGATCAGGCGAGGAGGAAGCTTGAGGGGTGGTGGCTTTTGATCCATTGGGAGAGGGTGCTGATGCTTCGGGCATTGGTTGAGCGGATTGTTAAGGGAGATGATGTTGGTTGGAGGTGGTTTGGTTAAAAGTGCATATGTCTTTTGAGAACTTTGAATGGATGGGGGTGCAAGTACACTTCTGCTCAGGGTAAAGTCTCAATGCTGTGATTGGTCACTTTGAACGCAACATATTGTCTACATGAACTTTTATCTAGGTACGATAACTGATGAAGTCTGGAATGCACGGGAATAATTCCCATGTCAGTCGATAGGTTCCTTGGTTAATAATAGTATCTATATGAATGTATCATGAGTTATGTTTGAAGGAGAATTGTATGCTATCCGACAATTTGCGGCCGCAGCACACATGCAGTGTATGTAGAAGAACGTTGACGAGCGCGACTGCAACTAACACCATAATCACAAGTCCCGAGACATATTTCTCGCCACGAACTCATGCCGTTTGGACACATTCTGCCGTCTGCCCTCAGTATGACACTGACAGGGAGAGCAGCTCCGCCTGTCAGGATCGTCGACTGCATCGCCTACACTACAGCGCACTAGCAAGCCCCGCAACAGAGATACGTGTTCAAGCACAGGCACAGGAGTTGAATTTTTAACCCGTTTTTTCTTTTGCTTTGGTCATCATGAAAATATTTGTTGGCCACAACCTAACTTGGCTAAGGACGCATGGGAGATTATCCGCAGTCGCCTAAGTACATATGCCTCATAGCAAAAGAGCATTTTCAACCCGTCACAAAAAGAACTCCACACCATAACCCGCTTAGTCCTTGGTCTTCTGGGTACCGCGGAGCAGACCAGTTCTCCGGGCAGCAATGAGACCGGCTTTTTGACCGTGGGCGGCGTAGCGGGAGATGGTAGAAGCCTTACCGATGTGCTGGTGGTTACCACCACCGTGAGGCTGTAGAGAAAACACATGTCAGCAACCATTACATCTCGTTCAAGCACGACTGCGCGACGCAGCCCAGAAAAGAGGAGTCTTACGTGATCGACGGGGTTCATGGCAACACCACGAGTCTTGGGCCAAGAGTTGCGCTTGACAGCGAACTTGTGCTTGGCACGAGAAGCCTCTGTAGGTAGATGTTAGCGGCCAATTCGCATCCGAAAGAATTTCCTTCTCGGGTCTCCTATGTTGTCGGAGCCAGAATTTTTCAAGGAGAGAAAACGTACTGAGCAAAGGCTTGTCGGTACGACCACCACCAGCGACGATACCAACCATACCACGGGCGGTGTTCTTGATGACCTTCTTGGCACCGGAGGGGAGCTTGACACGGGTCTTGCCCTCCTCAGGGTTGTGTCCAATGACGGTAACGTAGTTACCGGAGGTACGACCAAGAGCACCACGGTCGCCAGCCTTCTCCTCAACGTTGGTGATAACGGTACCCTCAGGAACGGAGGCGAGGGGGAGGATGTTGCCGACAGTCAGGGTGGCGTTCTTTCCGGCGTAGATGAATTGACCGGTGTACATGCCCTCGTTGGCAATAAAGGTCTCGGTAACGTGCTTGAACTTGTAGGGGTGACGGAACTGGACCTTGGCGAGAGGAGCACCACGGCCGGGGTCGTGGATGATCTCCTTCACAACACCACGAGTGTATCCATGACGCTCAGCGTAGTCGAGGACACGGAACTGGGCAGGGGCCTTGTTGAGACGGGTGTTGGCCGCTACAGTCGAGATTTTTGCATCAGCATTCCGGGATTCTGGCACAGAGGAGATTTCGAATTTTGAGAATATTGCGGTCGCACTCACTGAAAATGCTTCCACGACCCTTCCTCTGGTTGCGGATCACACGACCCATGGCGACTTTCTAGATAGGGACCTGGTGTTAGTATTCAAGAGGAGTCCGCCGGCGACCTGGTGGTGGGAGAGTTCGAGTTCTCGTACCTCAAATCTAAGATGACCTTGTCGGGTTGGTGTTGAGAATTCGTCGGCGAAGGGCTGTGTGGGCTTTAGGGTGGAAGTCGCTAATCTAACCGCGTCGGGGCTAGCGTGTATGAGTGAGCGGTGGCTGCAACTTGGGTGTGGCGCGGGTCGCTTTTCTGACTAAGCCCGGTAACGTAGGTACTAGTAGGGCAATTGCACGGTTTGAAACCTACTGTGGCACTGCCACTACGGAGGCTGAAGAGGACCAATTCGGCAAGCGGACTTGAGCCGATTACCGTCTCTGTCCCTCTCCCTGTCCCGTCCCTCAGTCCAGTAACTACTAAATGAGTTGTTACTCCGTACTGAGTTAAGCATGCCTGCCCGTACCACTGTGCTTACCTATACCCCTCCTGCCATACCATAAAAAACCCTCTTCTTTCCATACGGCGAGTCGCTTATCGACTATTTACCCTACATGTTAGTATAATACTGCACATACATCATCCATGATGATATTATCGACAGACTCTACTCAGAGGGATGCGTCATTCACGGCTCATCGAGCACTATCGACTCAATCCGGGTACAATTGAGAGACACCCAGTGTTTGAGTTGCTGATTCGTGTATATCCTGTTTGTCCTCATGAACTGACCGCGTTTGGTAGTACAATTTTGTCCTGAAGCCTTCCAGCTTCTGGGTATACGGGATGGGCCGATGAACACCCACATCCGGTCGCAACAAATAGCTGAGAACTTCCATGTTGATGCAACTCAGGTAGGCCGAGTTGTGCATTCATGATTAGCACGCTTTTGGTCTGTGCCTCGGTGTTCGCGACGCCCCGTGCGTCTATATCCATGCTGTCCATTACGGATCGAAAGCCGCCTGGCAACATGGTATACCGCGAGCGGGGCAAGTCCGTTTAGGCTCGCCTGACGCCCATGCGAGCCTATGTTCATTCATGAAAGTGCATCCTGCCAGGTACATCGCACTGTCCAGGCAGAAATTCATGCCTATTAGGTGACCGAACATGAGGGTATACCTCTGGTTGGTCTACAGACATCTCCCAGAGCACAGTGCTGGTCGACCCCGATCTTCTCCTGGCAATTCCGTCACCCCTGTGACTATGGTCATCTTGGAGAAATCCCAATGTACAATGACCTCTGATTTTGCCATCCTGTTGACCCAGGCATACAGTACAAGTAGACGGCGCTCTAGGTTCGATGATTCCACTTCTTTAATTTGATCTCTCTCCATGTTTCAACATATCCTCCGTATAATGCGCGTGCTGCCTGGAACCTATTGAAGGGATCATACAGTTCTATGTGCCATTGATGCAAAGCAAACCCAGACTATCGTCGGAGGGTTGGTGCTGATTGGGTGCTGATCATCCCTGGATAAGGGCTGTTTTCTTGATGATGCCAGAAACGCCAGGCGCGTAAAAGCCGCGCTTCAACCGTAGTGCAAAGTAGAACTTCTCTGCGCCGCGGACCTGCCCGCTCGACCTTGTATCAAACATCTCCCCTCCTCACAAGCATCGGACAGCCACACAACCATGTCGAACCTGTCTCTTTCCGACTCAGAACTCTCGTCGCTCTCCTCGGCACCCCCGTCGGATGAAGAGACGGGGTCTATGGCCGTGGATGAGCCCGTGGGAATTACCAAGTACTTCAAGAAGGAATCCGAATCTCCGCCGCCGAAACGGGAGCCCTCACCACCCCATGAATATGTGCTAGCAGACAACTCCGATATTGCAGTATGTGACTCACTGAAATGCTAAACGGCTTGAGGCTCCCCGAAACCCTTTCAACGCGTTGTTCACGTTTCCGAGATCCAGTGTGCTGACCTGTCGCAATCCCTAGTTCATTGTGATGTTCCGCGCGCGTTTCCATGATGTATTCCCGCGATCGACACCACACTTTGGCCCACAGGATATTGAGAGAGGTGTCGCCGAGAGCACCCCCGGCGATCATATTGAACGGCTGCTTTGTGCATTGCTAGGATTGGTGTTAAATAGGAAGAAGGATGTGGAGTATGACCGCCGCCCGCAACCCCGAACCCGCTCCATGGAGGTGTCCGCCAGGACGGGTTGACCACCTACAATCTGAATCTTCCGGTGCATATAGAAGACTAACATTCGGTGATTAATGCGCAGTCGGAACCACTACACGCGTCCCTTGGAGGAGGCGATCCAAACGCATGCCCCCCAATGGCCTAGGGCTTGGCAAGGCAAGAACCCTCTGCACGGGGGTAACAACTTCACAACCATGAAGCCGGAAGAACGCGTATGTCGCGCGGTCGCATCACCCAGCACAACCTTACTGACACACTCTAGTTGCTCCTACTCAAAACCTTGATCCTCTGGTCCCTTTCCTCCTCCGACGCCGTCCAAGCCAAGATCAAAGAGTCCTACAAGCAAGCACGCCACGAGGACGACCTCAACCAACCGCTCTCCGTCCAGCCGTGGGGTCGCGACGGCCTCAAGCGTCGATACTGGCTCATTGAAGGCCTGGATGATACCCACTTCAGACTATACCGCGAGAGCAACCCGGCGTTAAAAACCAACACCTGGTGGAGCGTGGCGGGGAGCATCCCGGAGCTGAAGGTCATCGCGGACAAGCTCGACGAGGAGAAGAATATCCACTCCAAGAAGCTGAGCGAGAAGATCCGAAACTCAATCCCTCGGTTCGAAGGATCAGAGGAGGTAAGTCTCGGTCGCCCCCTTGGGAAGCTAACGACCTGCGCTCATCATAAGAACAGAAACGCAAACGCCGCGACTACCGGATTGCTCGGAAAGCACAATTCGCTCGCCCCGAGCCTGGCTTCTCCCTCTACGAAGGCCGCACTCGCGGCAAGAAGTTGAAATACACCTACTCCGACGATGAAGACATCTTCTCCGACGGCCTCCCCTCGACGCGACGCTCAACACGAAATACCTCCGGGGTGTCTACTCCCGTAGAGCCAGCGGGTCCCAGATACACAGCCAGTGGCCGACAAATACGATCTCGCGCGGGCGGACTGTACGGCGAGTCCTTGCTCGCCGGGCAACAGGACGATGCCCAGACCGGCGACGAGGGCAGACCCACGCGATCGAGGGCGAACCGGGCCAATGGGTATACCGATCACGATCTGGATGAGGAGATGGAGGAAGGCTCCGCTGGGGCGCAGTCAAGCGGTAATGAATGGCAGGGCGGCGAGGAGGAAGAGGACAATGACTTTGAAGGGGATGACGAAGAGGAGGCGAGCGGCGATGAAGAAATTGCGAACGGCGAGCCACCCAGCCTGGTGGTGCAGCTCCGATACAACAAGGACAAAGGCAAGGAGACGAGCAGCTCGGCAGATCCTGCTGAAACTGAACGACCATCGGAGGAACATTCCGAGACCAAGCACGAAGCCTTGAGTCAATCTTCCGGCAATCCACCGCATGCCCATTCCCCGTCCCAAGGGACCGAACCATCTGGCACGAAGCCGATCACCGCAACCAGTGCGGCTGTTCCTCTGGAGCCGAACAGCACTGGTCCCCATACCAATACCCTTGCGCCTGGGGCTTCAGTATAAGTCGCGGGCGAAACCATTCAATAAGCAGCAGCACCTTCAATTGATACTAGAGCTATCAAGCGGCTATCTTTAGCAGAGAAACTATTTTTCTTTATCTTCACCACTGATAATATTATTTGCGAGAGCGTTCCCTTTGGTCAACTGTCAACTGTCAACTATACGGGTCAAAACACGGGATCTATCTGTTAGGCGTTTTTCTCTATATCTATGGAAGGGGTCAATCTGGGGAGGTAGCATTGTGAATCACGATTTCCGAGTGGCGTGGGGCGTGCAAAAAGATACATTATTCATAAATGAGATGATCTATGTTAATGCTTACATCTGATATGTGAGTGTCGTTTGTCCGGGATGGGCTCTTTCTACATGGCTCTTCTCTCCAGATGCCGCCAGTACGGATTGAGCCCGCCATCTAAGAATAGGAGCTGAGACATTTATGCATTATATACATAACTATACCTAGAACTACAGATTGTATGATCTAGCTAACCAGACCAAACAGTACGACCGGGGAAACGAGAACACCACGGGCATAAAAGCTCCAGGGGTCTTCGGATGCAACGCCCGGTTGGTGATGTCAAACAAGGAAAGAAAAAAGAGGGTATGCTTCATGAATCCACCGCTTCCGATAGAATTGAATCCAAACGCCGTAACGCTAAACACCCGAAATGCAGAAAGGAGACCCCCCCCCTCCAAATGAACATAAGCAGTCTTTTAGCAACTCGGTCGCATTCAGAGTGCACCAGAACTGTTTAGACGGCATTCGAGAACTGGGCCGTGTAGAACTGCAGAAACTCCGAGAATGTCAGATGGTCAAAGAAATCCGGTAAAGGGTTCGTGCAGAAAAGAGGGGGGTAGCAAAAACACTCACGTCATCTACCTTGGCGGCCACCCGAGGATCTCTGGCAGAGCCCAAAGGAGGGAGCTTCCAGTTGTTGACCTCGTACCACCATCGACGGATTCTGCTGCCCAGGGTCTGTCCGCTGAGGGAGGCATTGCGGTTCCAGAAGCGCCAGCCGGAGAGGGCCAGAGTCCACAGCGTACCCTGCATCAGAGGAAGGAGGACCTGTTGGGAGAAAGGAAAAATGGAGGAGGTGAGCGGGAGATTTCCAACCTGGTTTTGACGGAAGAACATCCCCCTAGAGAATGCTTCCTGTCTGTCTGGGAATTGAGAGGCTGGGAGTGAGAGGTTACTCACCTGGTCTCTGATGGTGATCCACGCAACTCTTCCCCAGGTATCGGCGCCACGCAGGCTGGCGAGATAGCTCTGTTCGAAGCGCAGGTCGGGCAGTGGGGGGAAATTATGGCGCCGGGTGGCCGGTCTGACCATATGGCGAGGGTCGACGATGTCGGACGGGATGCTGCCAGCTTCGGAGGGAGCATCGTCCACCACGGGCTGCTTTTCGGAGGCTGCGGTCGGCGGGTTGACGTCGTGGTCCGGCGAGGGGTTTCGGTTGATCGAAGCCGTCTGGATGACCTCGGGAATTTGGAGGACAGGGTCGGTCATTGTGGTGTTGTGGTGTTATAATTGGTATTGAGAGTATTGAGAGTATTGAGAGTATTGAGAGTACTTGATTCTGCGATGGGAGAGGAACGTTGTTTGGGTGTTGGTTATATAAAGCAATTAACAGGAAGCTCTCCGTCGGACAAGTTGAAGGGAAGCTTGAAGGTCGGAGGCCGGAGGAACTCCCTTTGCTCGACCCAATCAGACTCCGCCGGCCCCTCCTCCGCCCGTCAGCCAGTTTGAGTCGGTTTAAACTGAAGCCCGTCAGTTTAAGTACTCCGAACACGCCCTCTCATCCTCTCTCTTTCTCCCCCTCTCTCACTCCCTTACCTCTTCTTTCCCCCTCCCAATTCATCCCATACTTACTTCACCTCCACCTGTCACAATGGCTGCTGCTCAGGGTTATCCTTTGTTGTGTCTCGAGAACCCCCTCCTGGGTGCGTGGGATCTTCTCCTTCTTCCCCCCCCCCCCCCCCCCCTCTTGCCCCTCCCCCACCATTCCGGGTTGACCCCAGGCTTAGGCTAACATCAAGCTTATGAGGCATACAGATATCCAGGCAGTCGGGTATGTCACTCATCTCCTATCTACTCATCTTTTCGATTCATCGTGTTATTATTGCAAAAGTCAAGTCTTGCTGACTCTTACCCCCGCATAGTGATGCCGCTCTCCTGGAGAAGTATGGCCTGAAGGACAACGATGCTATCCTCGCCGAAGATAAGCACATGGGCCTGTATGAGGAGCTCCTCGGCCTTGATGCCAAGCTCATTGCTGGTGGTGCCGCTCAGAACACTGCTCGTGGTGCTCAGGTATGAGTCTCATCATATTCTCCGTTCCCCGGTCAGAGATTATTTACTAACCGCCAGGCGGATTTAGTACATCCTTCCCGAGAACTCCGTCATGTACATTGGCTGTGTCGGCAAGGACAAGTACGCCGATATCCTGAAGGAGGCCTGCGCCAAGGCTGGTGTCCACACCGAATACCGTATCGATGATGTTCAGCCCACCGGCAAGTGCGGTGTCATCATCACCGGCCACAACCGTAGCATGTGCACTCACCTTGCTGCCGCCAACGAGTACAAGCTTGACCACCTGAAGCAGCCCCACGTCTGGTCTCTCGTCGAGAAGGCCCAGTTCTACTATGTCGGTGGCTACCACTTGACCGTCAGCGTTCCTGCCATCCAGGCTCTGGGCGAGGAGGCTGCCGCCAAGAACAAGGTCTTCATGCTGTCCCTCTCGGCTCCTTTCATCCCGCAGTTCTTCAAGGAGCAGCTCGACAGCGTCCTGCCCTACACCGACTACACCTTCTGCAACGAGACCGAGGCTCGTTCCTACGCCGAGAGCCACGAATGGGGCACCGAGGATGTGGTTGAGATCGCCAAGAAGCTGGCTCAGCTCCCCAAGAAGAACACCAGCCGTCCCCGCGTTGCCATTGTGACCCAGGGCACCGATCCCACTGTCGCCGCCACCGTCAAGCCCAACGGCGAAGTCGAGGTCAAGCAGTTCCCCGTCCGCGAGATCCCCAAGAGCAGCATCAACGACACCAACGGTGCTGGGTGAGTAAAACGAGACTTCTTCCCTGTGCTTTGAGAATCCTGATTCTGATTCTGCTATAGTGATGCCTTCGCCGGTGGTTTCTGCGCCGGTGTTGTCCAGGGCAAGTCCCTCGAGGAGAGCATCGATCTCGGCCAGTGGCTCGCTTCCCTGAGCATCCAGGAGCTGGGACCTTCGTAAGTTTCCCGACCTAGCCTACAACCCAGTTTCACAGTTAGAGAGTGATAGGCTAACGTCCATTCTTCCACTTCTAGCTTCCCCTTCCCCAAGCAGACCTACACCCCCTCCAACTAAAATCTCTCCACCACGCAGTCATACTAAATCAAGGTCCCGTCCGACATCACGGGACTGAGGACATAAAATATATATGTCGAAGGCCAAACCACCAAATTTAAACAAAAAATCTTTTCCTTTTTTTTTTTTAGTTTAGGATTCAACCTTCTATACCCAAATTTTCTGTCGATGACTTAACGTCTTCGACCTTTTCTTTCCTCCTTTTCCTTTCCCCAAATCTTCAATGAATGTTGTGTGAAAGGTGCCTCGCTCCGATGGAAATTCAATAGATACCTAGACCGGAAGTGGCGCGGATGAACGTTCTCAACAACGAACTATGGTGATGACTATGTGCTATTCCTCAGGTTCCAGATGAGATAGACTGTGAAAACACGATATGTGTGTGTCGCATTAGGGGGTAGAAGTCTCGCTTTCACTCAATTGGCCTTGTGGAGCTCAAGGCTGGCAGTAGACACATTGAACAAAGTAGCTTCAATTGAGAACAGCGATACGACTCGGAAGTTCTGAAGTGATTGAGTATGATTTGAGTATGAGAGTACAATTTGAAACTAGAAACCAGCTCGATACATCTTCAAGGTTGCCTGCCATTGGCGCTAGTATCCATCCAGCCTCAGAGGACTAGGTAAATCAAGCTTAGTAGTATGGGAATGGTTACGCGATGCGGAGAAACCCGAATGACCTGATGCTTGCACCCTCCAGCTCCGCTCTCCGCTCTCCCCTCTCCCATTTTTCCCTTAACTTTCTCACACAATGGAAAGCAGACCAATCAAGGATGCCCAGACGCCCCGACGCCCCGACGCCCAGACCATACCATTCTCGCCCGGCCTATGTTTGCATGTTTGGTTCGACCACTCCCGCAACCTGGCTTGAGCTGAATCTATAGCTATAGCAAGAAGGAGAGTTGGACGATTGCAGCTGGCTATGTACTGCTAGTCCTGTCTGCCTCCGAGGCTCAATCGCCATTATCCATACTGATAATCCGCTTTGTTCATTCGTTCAATCTGTCATCTGCTTTCGTCTCTCTGTCCATTTCAGGTCTGCGTATATGCGGAGATACTACGCGTATATCGGCGACTAAAAGGATCTAGAGAGGGGATCCTAGCAGAGAAGAGAGACGAACAGAAAGGTTGAGGTTGTTGGGAACCCGCTGTCATTCGCTGGTCTCAATCGCATAATCGGCAGATTTGGACAGAAGTCATGGCGATTCATCGACTAGACAAAGCACGTCGGCAGGATCAACCGCCGTGGCCATAGCGAGTGCTATTCTGACCAATAGCACCGTACTGTGGAGAAGATTGGCGGGCACTGCTGTTGAAGCCAGAAGAGCTAGGGTAGCCTGCGCCGGAGGATAACGTGCTGGCAAGGAAGGCATCATTGGCCCAGGATGAGTTGATTAGACCGCTAGGCGAGCCCATGTTTGGTGCTGCTGCCGACGGTTGGTTGGTGGGAAGAACGATCGACCCCCCACTGACACCCGTCTCTAGAAGTGCTCGGTCCCATGCAAGACCGGAAAGCCGGTGGCTCTGGGTTGATGGACTCGAGGAGGGTATCCAGGAGGAGGGGACCGTGCCTGTGCCTGGGCCGGGGATGCGGTGGAGGTATCCAGCGGCTGGAACTTGGTTCATCAGACTCTGGCGAAGCAGTAGCTCGTTCGCAAGTGGCTCGTGAGATGGGTAGTGGCTCGACGGGCTGCCGATGCTTCCCGATAGTGAATGAGTTGGGTACCGATGTCCGAGACCAGGAGGGGTTCGAGGAGAGGGAGCATCACCGCCGAGGCTGGAAGATAGGGTTGTGTTCCAGATGCTGGGAATGCTGGGAAGCGCAGGCCGTGCAGTATAGGGCTGGGATGACGAAACACGGGCAAGAGGGGCCGAGCCGCTGGCCACGGGCGGCGCAAGTCCTGGAGGGGCGACCGGAGTCTGCCGAGGAAGAAGATCCTCGCGGAAGATTGTCTCCGTGCTCGGATCGAAGTACTGACTTGATGGCCGCTGCCGGCTACCACCTTGCGGAAGAGTCAGGCTTTCTGGCACGCTCGAGGCGTTCTCGTACGTGTCCGAATCAACCAGACGTTCCACGCCTTCGAGTATGCGGTTCATACTGGCAGACATCGATGCCGACTGCGATCCACCGTAAACACTCGGAGCGTCTGGAGCGTGGTTTAGATCGAGGTTGGCTTGTTGTATTTCCTCGCGCTCAACACTCGCGGAGGACAGCGTGTGATTGTGCCCCGCGGGACTGGCAAAAAACTGCGAAGGGAGGTCTTCCTCCTTGTAGATGAAAGTCTTCTTGTCTTCGTCATCAACAAGTGCGATGGGGATTTTGTTGCTGACTACCAAATCCAAGCCATCGATCACAAACTCGCGGATTCGGTAGAGCATTTCCATGTTGGGGTGGTTACGTTCCACACCTGGGTCGTTCATTCGAGGCTTCTGTTGACCATTGGAACCCAGGTATCTGCGACAAGTTGTGTCCTTGCTCAGGGGCGCAAAGGCCAGAGTCTCTTCGTCTTCTTCCAAAAGATAGTCGATTTCGGGAAGGTGCACTACGTCGAAAGTTGAGGCCAGAAGAGTCAATGTGTTGGCGTATATCTTCCAAAACTCCGTGATTTGAACCGCCAGAGGTGTATCCTTTTCTTGTTTGTGCGCTGCTAGCAAGTGGCTGACCGTGAGCAACCAGGAGCTGTAGTTTCGGAGTGCGGGAAGAACCCGACGAGCGACCACAGTGACCTTGTCAGGACCGGTCTGCACGTCTTTGTTGCTCGAGTCTTCAACAGCAAATCGCTCTACTTCTGCAAGAAGAATCTGAAGCAGGGTGAAGAACGTCTTCACATTGATCCGCTGAAAGAAAGCGCGCGCATTGGACACGGACTCCTCTAAATCTTGGTTCAGTGCATGACACTTGGACATTTACGCCATTAGAAGACTTACCGTTCGAGCGTAACGTAGAGAATTCTTCTGCGCTGATGTTGATTAGAACGAATTTCTGTAAAGTGCCTTCGAGCGAGCGTTCCTTCAAGTCAACAGCGAGTTGATTGAGTACTTCGCTCTCCAGCTCGTCATGCTCTGGGAAATCGACCCCCTTATAACATTGCGCATGCAGATATACAAACCAAGGAGCCAATGCTCTGCCGGGAATCCCAGCATCTTCAGGACGGATCAGCTCCCGCTTGGCCCATGCACTCATGACTTTTCTAAACTCGATCTCCAGGTTACCCTTAGCTGACGGGTGCGGCTCCTGGGCTGCTAGAGCCCTATACAAATGATACGTAGCGCGAAGGTGATTGCCATCAGCCAATGCAATGACTGCTAGCTGATTATGCGACGCGCCAGAGGCTGGGTATATCAGAGTAGCCAGGTCATAGTACCCGATCGCGGGCCCCCAATTGCGCTCCTTTGTGACCAGCTCGGTCTCGCGATAACGGGAAAGATCGCCGAGACGAATCAAAGTCGCATGGCATGATTGAAGGATCCGCTTTCTGAGGGCTTCCGTAGGTTGCAAGGGCGGCTCCGCCGACAGATCTGTGAAGGGTTTAGACTCCAGAAAACGGTGGGTTCGCCAAAGTTGACGGGACCGGCAGTTTGCTCACTGTCGAAATTGAATTTCCGGGCAACCTTTTCCAGCTCCGGAATCCCGCCGACATGGGAGGACAATTGTTGGATGTAGCCTCGATAGAATCGCTGACTGGATTTGATAAATTCGAGGTAGTGCTTCTCGAGCTTCCGTTTCTCTACCGGTTTCTTCTTCTTCCCGTTTTCCTCGCGGAACTGCCATGGCACACCAGGGATTAGAGACGGAAGCAGACAGGGCCACCGTAGGACTCACGCGAGACAGCAATTTACGGAATCGGGTGTTGATTTTGAGATGACTATCCCAGAGGCGTCCTTCGACATCCACGGAGCGGGCGGCGTCGAGGTCCTGAAGAATAGCATTTTGGCAAGCGGAGCGAAGTCTGCGACGGACGAGGATGACAAGACAACGGTCAGATCAGTTTTGCGCGCAACAGGAGGACGGCGGAAGGGAAATTCAGTTACTGACTCCGACAGGTGATGGGAGATTTCGGCAAACGTGGGCTCTTTTTCGGCAAGGCTCTTCAAAAGCTCTTTCTCGAGATTGAGCGCAGTTCTGTGCGATGCAAGGATTAGACCGACGCAGAGGGCGGGGGGAGAACGCGAGGGTGACTGACTGCCACGTATCCTGGAACGCGGACGCCATGCTCAGGAGATGAGATCACCGGAGCCCGCTTCACCTCCACCGTTGACTTCGCCGTCAGATGGCTATGGCTGGTTGAGAGCGTGCGGGCGACAAGGGCAGTGAACGATCCATCAGTTAGTGATAGTATATACAGAACGAGCGCGGTGAGCGGGGACGGTATGCAATTTCCAGAACGTCAGGGAAGAGGAGGGGGTTGTGAATCAGTGACCCCGATTGGCAGCACACATAAAAGAAGAAGTGAGAAGAAAAGAAAGTTAAGAGAAGCTCCAAAGGGAGGGTAGTGATAAATCCAATTCAGGACGAACAACGGAGGGGTTGAAGGCCGCCGCTCGCTGAAGGGAAAATCCCATGAGAACTTTATGACGGGGGGGAACTTTTCTTCTCGAGGCAGACAAAATAGAATCTAGTTAAGGTAAGAATAATGCGGCACTGCGGGAGGAACGGAGAGGCAGGCGGTCAGGCCTATCCACCCAATAGAGTCAGCCGTGGCCGGACTACTAGTAGGTAACTTATAGATCAGGTGGATTATAACTTCCACATCTCCAGCTTACCTGAATCGAATTACTTTCGACTTCGAGATACATGGTCAAAAGACTGGCACGAGTTCCTCTCAGACTCACTGCTTCGTCGTTAGATAAATATGTAAGTACTGACTCCACCCCAACAGCAACTGGAAAAAATCCTGACCCATCTGCACAGGCAGAAAGATTGACCTCCCTTCCACCAATGGATGGTCCAAGTGTCACGCCATTGCTGCAGAGTGAACTATTACCTCGCAACCGACCTATCACTGTTGCAAATTCTCTCCTCAAACGCAGGACGGACAGCAAGTTCGGCCAACATGTCCATCAAACGCGCCCGCAGCGACTCCGACTCGCCTGCCGCCGCCGCCGCCGATCTGTTGTCGTCCGAGGAGGATGGGGGTCCGTCGTGGCCAGCATCCCCAGCATCCTCCACCGCGCCCTCTCTCGGACGCTCCAAGGTGCACTTACCAGACACGGCCGCTCCGGTTGCTGAAGTCATGCACTGCTCCCTCCCACCGCACCGCGAGACCATCGCCTTCGCCTCCTACGACGATTACGAGGTCCATTACCGGCAGTCACATGTCAACCGCTGCTCCCAATGTGGGAAGAATTTCCCCACGGATCGTTTCCTGAATCTTCACATCGAAGAGAACCATGACGCCATCGTCGCTACGCGACGGGAACGAGGCGAGAAGACGGTATGAGGATTTCCCTTCCCATTCCCGCAACCTAAACCACCTAACCTTTTTGTCTGGCCTAAACCGCTGACCCTGCATTGCTGTTGGGGGGGAATTCCAGTACGGGTGCTTCATCGAGGACTGCGAGCGCAAATGCTCGACGCCTCAGAAACGCAGAATGCACCTCATCGACAAGCACATGTTTCCCAAGGTATGGGCGTGGCCCTTCCCGTCGTTTGCCGCGTACTCCGGCGTCCCTTTTGGTGGGCTTGTTCTAATTCTCAGAACGGACGAGCAGACATACAATTTCTACATAGTCAATGATGGGATTGACAAACAGACCTCGTTGTTGCGGCCAACCAAGACGCACCGGCGCCGTCTATCTACTACGCCAGCCTCGCCCCAGGAAGGGCGGCTGAGGAACAGACCGACGTCTGGGACCTTTTCGAGCGCGAACTCGGGTGTGCAACATACTCTCGCGACTCCCGCGGTCGCCGATGAGATAGAGATCGCCGAGCTGGAGAAGTCCATGTCTGCGCTGCGATTCGTGCCATCCAGTGTTACGAGGAACCATGGCAGGGTTGGAAGGAGATCTTGACCTTGCGGTAGCTCGGCATATAGCTTACGTCCTACCTGGAAGATTGAAGCAGGCACACGAACAGAATCTGTGATTCTTCACAGTTTTCTGACGCCGGATCATTCGATAACTCATATTGCTTTTTTCGGCGCCTTGCTCAAATTGGGAACCAGGTCACATAGCAAAAGGGACTCTCCAGAAGGACCTGCAATAACTATCACATGCGGGGAAGAGCATCGATGACGTTCCTGTTCCTTCGTGGTATCAGAGCCTAAAGACTCCCTCCCGTGCCGGAAAGCACCTGCCATAGTCGGCAGATTGAGACTCATGTCACAGGCGAGTGACCACGGCGCAGGAGTTCGCTCTGCTCCAGAAGACATAGCAAGACATAGCAAATCATAACCTATCTATATACAGGGGTAATAAAGGAATATGAAGACTTCGAGCAGCGTGGGTATACAGCAACATGATATATCGTTCCCAGTAGAATAGCCAAAGGATCAACATGACAATCTAGGAATCGGAAGCTATTGTTCGGAGGGCCTTGGTGACAAGCAAATGTCCAAGCCAAAGGACGCTGCAGTGTCCCATAGTAATTCCACGGCGTGGAGCGGTCATGGTGTGGTTTCAAGAAGATCAGCATAGGCATCTAGGCTTGAACCAACCAGGTCTACTATGGCCCAGCTAGTGTTTCCCTTGAAGGTTCGTGCCCACACGCGAACGATAGCCACACTCAGCTGTTTTGCTTTGTATGGATTGGCAATGAAATCCATATCCGGTGCTCCCGGCGGATCTACAGCCATGTCGGTTTCGTCCATCATGCTCTTGATCCAGAGGAGTAACTTTCTCTCGTGGTCTGAGAGCCTTTGCTCAGCATGGGTCACTGGTATTGAGAGCAGCCATCGGCTGAGAAGGAAAGCACATTCTAGACTACAGAGGGAATGCTGAATGCTCCAGAAGAAAGAATGGGTTCTGGCGACGAAGTCGATGCCTAGACGCACCGGAATCGAAAGTGCGTGAGCAGAATGTAGTAGAGCCATAATTAGGCGAGGACTCCGAGCTATGAGCGGCGATTCACTGAGGGCCCTTGCTATCTGGCCTGGATCCTGCGTCATGAGGCGACGGCAGGGTCCCAGGTCCACATGCAATCGAATGTATGCGAGGCCCAGCAGAGCGGTCGATGTGAATGCAATTGGTCCTGCTGGGTTCTGTGGATCAATGCTGGACTCGGGAGTGCGTTTCCATAGTGCCTTCCACGCGCTCAAAGAATTATCTAGGACAGACAGATCTTCGCCCCTCAAGCTGGTACCTTGCATAGTCGGTGCAGAGAGACAGAGCTGGCGTGCAAAGAATATTTGCTGGATGAGAGCGTGAATGAGAATATAGTTTCCGAGGGGAGATATGGGTGCGGTCGGGCCCGACAAATTCGACTTGAGGAACAATTTAGCAAAAGCGTCCTGGAAGGGGACATCAGATCCATGTCGTATGCGGGCCACCCGCCGCCACTGAGCCGCGTTGGTTGCTTTCCAGACATCATGCGAGCACGGCATGTTCAATTTCAACTCCGCATTCAGAATCAGAGGGGGGATGTTGTACATAATAGAATGTAGGTTGAAGAAACAATACACGATGAGTTTCGTGCGTCGGTTGCCTTCTCTCCGGACCCACTCTTCCCAATTGTTAGGATCTGGGCTAGGAGGTGGCTCTGACAGACCATGCTCTCTGACCAGTCTTGCCAGAGTGCTCTGAAGCGAGAGGATTTCCCTCAGTAATTCGGGGTGTCTTTCCCAAGAAGCGAAAACCGTGAGCAAAAGGAAGGTTCGGATGACTTCCATATGGGCATCTGAGTCCTCCGCCGAGTAACCCGAGGGATCTGCTGGATATGGGGTGTGGTGGTGATGGTGAGATTGGGCTTGATGGTGTTGCTGAAACGGGCTACTGGCATGGTTAGATGTGGTGGAGGAGTCACGAGAGTTATGGTAACCCGATCCCGGTGATAAATAGTTCCATGTCGGGCAGGCGACTTGCTTGCTATCTCTTCTGTGAAGACGCTGAAGCAGGATGGCTTTTGCCGCATGGAATAGCTCGATCCCTCGGTTGTTTTCGAAGCGGTAATGGGACCCCGCTGCTGCCAATGCAAGAGTAAGCTCCGGAGAGCATTTTGCGACAGAAAGGGTGGGGACATGAATAAAGGGGAGGTGTTCGTTCAATCCATTGATATAGCCGGCAAAGAAGCGCGACAAAGCGTGCCTTGAGGGTGGGACAAAGTTCTTGGGCAGTATATAAGCAAATGCCTCAAGTTTAGAGACGAAAACTTGACGATCAGCATTGGTTATATCCCACGCGGCGCGAGGTCCCTCATCCGCGAAGCCAAGGCGATCATCCACTTCATGCGGTTCTGGCTGCAAGGATGGCAATCGGGACCCGAAATTCGAGAATGATGGTGGGTCATCTGCTGCCGTTCGTGGATCACTGTGAAGCTCCGGACCGAGCCTCCCCATCTCGCGAACAGACGGCTTAGTCTCCATGGGAAGTGTGGTCGGCAACATCGGCTCTTCGACCGAGGAGAAAACCCCCGAGTCCCAGTCTGATGAGAGCCCCACACTCTCCAAGAAGACGGTGAAGTCTTGGACTGGGTCGCCTAGATCAGCAAGGTCCAAGATCGAGGGTTCCACGCCATAATTATCAGTTATCGCTCTTTCCGGAATATGGGCGAGCGGCTGAGGAGGCGCCACGTTTTGCGAGGATTTCCGTAATGACTCAAGACTCTCCTGTTCACCCTCAAGAGCAACATGACTCGCAGCATGCGAGAGAAGATTCAGGTCATAGCCCCACGATGGATTGAAATGAGTTGTTTCCACTAGGGGAGGGGGTTGCACTTGCACTTCTGGCGGAGGCTGTGGAATCGGTTGCGAGTGCAGTGGGACAGCGTCGGCAAGCTCTAGCATACGAGACTCATGATGAGAAGGCTGGATTATAGATGAGGGCGTCTGAGGAACATCCTGGTTGTTGTTCTGCGTGCGGTGATCTCGACCGGCGGCAGTTTCCGCAGGGTGGACTAGCCGCTCGTGTCGTACGAGCAGGTCACTATCGAAATTTCCCCCATATTAGCGCGCATGAACCTGGATGCCACGGGGATGAGAAGTATACCTTCTGGCAAATGATTTGGAGCATATATCACACGAGAAAGGCTTCTCCTTGGTATCTATGGGATCAGATAGTCAGAAACTCATGTGTAGACGGGCAAAAGCCTCCTGAGGAGAGTTCGAGAGGGGGTTACTCAACGGGTGCGGAGATGGCGCTGAAGGTGTTCCAGGCGCGCAAATGATCTGCCGCAATATTCACAAGACAGAGACTTGCGATGAGCCGGGGCACTCTTCTTCCTCACTTTGCCTGGGTTGGCTCTTTCGTCCTCCATGGCGAATGGCCGTGGAATTGGACCATGTCCTTTTTGATGGGATTACAGGCGAGCGGGGAAGAAAAACTGTGGGGTCGACATGAGGGGGGTTTTGCAAAAGGTCGGTCACGTGGTAGGAGCAACGCCCCGACCGGAAACCCTACTTTGTACGGAGTACTCTGGTACTGTACGTACTGTACCTGTGAAATATTGGTGCACTTGATTCTACGTATCCTGAGCACAGGTAGTAATGGTCACTCATCGCCTGTTCGGGGAATCTTTCCCCGCCTCAGCTTCAAATGCTGCATGTCTCATAGACAGACATTCACGAGTACGGCCGCAGCTGCATTGTCCCGGTTGGCAGTCCCCGTGCGTACTGTACATCCTTCCTCTGCGATCGAGCGACTCCGCCATCCCCACTGGTGCGGAGATGTTCACTTAGGGTGATCAAATCCGCCAGCGCACTCGAAGCGTCTCCTCATTTGGGCCAGTTTGCGAGGAGATTGAATGGGGACATGAATGGGGTAAATCAATGATTTCCGTTTTTTCCCACAAGCACTCGACATTGCCAATTGAAAAAAAACCGGTGAGGGGAAAAGGAAAAGAACCGGAGTTGGTACAGTAGAGCGGCCAGCCCATAGATCTATAAATTGTTCCACAACTCCCGGAGAAATGATGGTTTTGTTCCAAGCCTGGACGTGAAACACTTCGCACTGATCTTCTGACGCTGACAGAATGCGCAGATATGTCAGACATGTCTGATTAACTACTCGGAAGGGATTTGGAGAGTGTTCTGAAATCCCACCTGCATTGTTACTCAGGGTGCATCATGATCCCGATATAGAAGCCTGTCCTAGGATGTCCCCCTTTTCGCCTGTTGAGGCCAGTCAGTGTGGGGTTTCTGGAAGAAGGCTGAATACATCCCTTTACACTACTTGTTATCGAGGCCGGAATGACTACATGTCAACACCTAGTTATATATATAGACATGTATACGAGGGTAGGGTGAACCTTAATGAAACGCAGGAGTTGCCGTTGAACAGGCTGCATTCATACAAGTAGATAGACCACTCACTGTACTCCGTACTCCGTACTCTATTACGGTAAATCGTGCCTGGAATACCCCTTTCTTGTCAGCGACTCACTAGGTGATAGCTAGCTATCAGGGTTAGTACGAATCTGCTGTTCCTGCAAGATCCTTATGGTAACTGTGAAGCCATCCCCACCATAGCCAAAGCTTGGCGAGTCAGGACGTGGTAGGATCAACCTGAAGAACTGCCCCTTGAGTGATAGAAGGGGGGCGTTGTGAGCCTACTCGACCGTAAGACAGAATGACGTGCCGATGGCCAAGTTAGCTGGTGAAGTGGTTACAAGTTCCAACAATACCTGGCAAATCTCCGGGTTGAGCGAAGGGAGGGTTGGTGCCCGGTCCGATGTTCAATCGATTGTTACCCCCGCGGAATCGACCACAACCACAACAACAACAACAACTGCTTTCTGACCTCTGCTGGTGGCCAACAGGCAGTGGTCAACTTACAAGCATGAAGAATAATGAAAGGCAGAGGTTATGATTGGTTTGTTATGGGATTTCTTTTCTCTTCTTGTTTTTTTCTTTCCTTCGTTCTACACGAACCAGGACCATGGAACCTCCCCTAAGAATAGGCGGGTATGGGGCGCGGGCGCGGGCGATAAGGTGCGGGTTGGGAAGTTGAGGAGTGAGGACGGACGGACGGGGGTGGAAGACCGAGAATCAGTTTAATCAGTTCAATCGACTTGAGGAACAGCGAGAGTTCATTGTTTCAGGTTTGGGCCCCTTGACAAATCATCCGCCGGCGGCGTGTTTGAGAATGATCCCGCAGTGGACAGTGGACAGTGGACGACGAAGAGGAAGAGAAGACGCATGTCGGAAGGTGCCCATCGTCCCCGACCGATCGGCCTAAACAACCCGCTGTGCGCTCTCGCCCTTAGCCCAGATCCATTAAACCCATCCATGATTTCTTCCAGTCTCTATCTATGAAAACTTCCCCTCTCCCCCCCCTCAACACCAAAGGAGATACCCAGAGACACAACCAGAGAGGCACAGAGACAGAAAACTACCACAGGCGAGGTGGCTGTCTTGTTTTCAAACTTGTCTTGTCTGCCTATCTCGCCCCATCAAAGCCTCCTCCCCCTCCCCTTTTCCATCTATTCCTTTCTCCGTCTTGTTCCCATTCCCATCCCCCCCCCCCCCCCCCCCTTTTTTTTTTTTTTTTTTTTTTTTTTTTTTTTTTTTTTTTTTTTTTTTTTTTTTTTTTTTTCTGCCAATCTTCCACCCCCACGTCTAGCCTCGACGCTTGGACTGGTCCTTTGTTGGACCATTCTTTCTCTCCTTCTTCTTTTGACTGAACAGTGATTTGCCATCAAAAGCAAGAGAATCCTAGCCTGCAGGACATCTCACCTGGTGTGAGCGAGCGGAGAGCCCAAGTGAGCCTAGGCCGGGCAGATCACGAAGCCACTGCCTATAGTGCTAATCTGCTGCCAAACATCCCCCGTGCTCTTCGATCGATTGAACTGTAAGTTCAGTACTCTAATTAGTATCTTCTCCTCCTCGACCGCTTGTCGCATCGTGCATCACTCCTCTATCGCCATCCCCCCCCCACCTCTGTGCTAACTCCGCTAACATGCACTATCACAACCAGATATCAAATTCGTACAATGCATTAGACCCCACACACAATCTCAGTCGAGATCTCAACTCACAGTCGCCGTTTGGGAGATATCGTTCAGCTTGTACCCCGCGACCACACCCGACCTCTACGCTCAGGTTCTCTATCGACCGTGGGCTCAGACCTATATCCGAATCTCTGACCCGACAAAATAACATCGGAGCGATTTTGTCGTTCACCTGTTCTCGAGCAAAGTCGCCAACATGCTGGCAAAGGCCACATACAACCCGTTGGGCCTGCAATCCACGCAAACACCAACGACTTCTTATTACACTGGCTCGTTGCAGAAGGCTGGTGGTCATGGTGATCCCCAGGGTGGCATGTTGTTTACCAGTCCGACGGAGTCAGAATTTTCGGATCCGCCCGACGGCCTTGACGCTGTACGGTGAGTCGCTCATGTAAACGTGCCCGTTTCAGGGTCGAGCAAACGCTCATTGGTACTAGGTCATGGGATGAGAAGCAGGTGGTTGCCTGGCTTCATAGCATAAATTGTGGTCAATACGAAGCTCTGTTCAAAGGTACATACACCTGCAGCAATCCACCCCTCATGGTATCATCCAGATTCTTGCAGACTAACAAGCCATAGCGAACAATGTTAACGGTAACAATCTAATCGAATGTGATCAAAAAATACTTCAAGAAATGGGCATCAAGAAAATCGGTGACCGCGTCCGCATCTTCGTCGCAATCAAGCAACTGAGGAATAAGTCAGTCCTCAACCGAAAGCAAAGAACGATGGTAGGTTTGACACTACGCTGTCTGACATCTCCCGTGCTGATCTGATTACAGAATCAATTGGCTGCGCTGGAATCCGTATCTTACACAGCTCCCTCATCCGGGACATCACGCCAATCCAATCAGCGACCAACAACGAGTACACGCCGCATGTCTCGAGCCGCTGAAAGTAGCTCTCATAGCTACTCCGCCGGCCGGTCATCGTCGCGACCCGGATCGCCTTTGCGTGCTCAACAGTATGTCGCAAGCAGTCCAATGGAAACCGGGCGGAAGGAGCAGGGTCCAGGGTACTTTAGCCATCCCTCATCTGCCGGGTCGATGACCAGCCGAAAGCCAAGCACTCCCAGCGAAAATGGTCACAACAATCGAAATGGCTCGCATTTGAGACAGAACCCTAGCCTCGATGGCTTGACGATGGGACAGTTGCCGACGAACTCGCCCGTCATCAGAGTGATATACACTGGTGGTCAGACCAAAGTGCTTGACATCAAACATTGCAAAACAGCAGATGAAATCATCCTGTGCGTTCTAAAGAAACTACAGCTTCCGGAGCATCAGTATCGCAATTATTGCTTCTATGTGATGGATGGCCTAGAACCTGATCCCTCCAACTGCAGAAGACTTGCGGACCATGAGCTTATGGAAATCTGCGAAAGCAGTCACAGGCCGGAGCGCGGCCGTCTTATTCTTCGCAAGATCCATGCTGGAGAACCAGATACGGATGAGCTCCGTCGGGCTTCTCAGTTCGCGGTAGATGAAAGTCAGGTTGCTCACATGAACGCCTTGAGCAGTTCGAATGTGCGCAACCAACTCAAAATTCAGCAGTTAACTGGTGAGTCTTGGCTTAACATCAGACAGCCGATGTCTCCTGTCTCGTCTCGACAGAATTTGACACCGAGTGAGCATGAAGGGCGGTCCGTCAACATGGAACGCCCTTCTCCTTCTGCTGCCAAGTTGCGGTCGTTCTTCGGTGCTCGACCTCCAAGTGAGATGATTATCCACGAGATTACATCGTACTTCCCAAGTCATCACCGGGAGGATATTGAGAAGACGATGCGTATGTCTGTCCGGAGGTCGCAGCGCTTGAGCCGTGCAGCAAGTCGCCTTAGTGTTGTCAGCAATACTAGCTATGCGTCTAGTCTGAGGGACGCGCCGCCAATGCCAAGCATAGCAGATACCTGGCTCAACGCCGGAGGAACACCGACCCGTGCATCGAGACCTCTCTCCGTGTCCAAATTCAGTCTCCCGTCAACAACCTACAGAGATTCCATCGCCTCCAGCTCCTTACAACCACTACAAGAAGAGTCGCCAATCGAGCCGAATCGCAAATCATATGTTTCGTTCGATAGTGGTTCTGATGATCCTACAACCTCCCGTCAGAGTCTTCTCGATGAGAATGCAAGTGTCGCTGCAACTGACGGCGGCTCGCTCAATGAACGATTGAGTATTCTTGTGGCTGAAGATGGGGAAGAGGAGGATGATGGTCTCAACGACTTCTTGGCAGGAAACAATTTCGCCCCGAAGAACTGGATGAAAGGTTCTTTGATTGGAGAGGGCTCTTTCGGCAGCGTGTTCCTCGCACTACACGCGATCACTGGAGAGCTCATGGCCGTCAAGCAAGTCGAGATTCCCTCTGCGACCAAGGGGACGGAGTTCGACAAGCGCAAGAACAGCATGGTCACCGCGCTTAAGCACGAGATTGAACTTTTGCAAGGAATGCACCATCCCAACATCGTGCAGTATTTGGGTACCGCTGCTGACGACCAGTATCTGAATATCTTCTTGGAATATGTGCCAGGAGGATCTATTGCCACCATGTTAAAGCAGTACAACACCTTCCAGGAGCCTCTGATCAAGAATTTTGTTCGACAGATCTTGGCGGGGTTGTCCTATCTCCACAGCTGTGACATCATTCATCGTGATATCAAGGGCGCCAACATCCTTGTAGATAACAAGGGAGGCATCAAAATCTCCGATTTTGGTATCTCAAAACGGGTGGAAGCATCGACTCTTCTTGGTGCTCGTGCCAGTGGCACCGGTGGAGGTCACCTGCACCGCCCCTCACTTCAGGGCAGTGTCTACTGGATGGCACCGGAAGTGGTTCGTCAGACGGCACACACGAAGAAGGCCGACATCTGGAGTCTGGGCTGTCTGGTGGTGGAAATGTTCATCGGGGCCCATCCCTTCCCCGACTGTAGTCAGTTGCAAGCCATTTTCGCTATTGGCAGCAATAAAGCCCGACCGCCGGCCCCTGAGCATGCCAGCCCGGAGGCCGTGGATTTCCTGGACCAGACATTCCAAGTCGACTACGAACAGAGGCCGTCAGCGGACGAATTACTGACCTGCCCTTTCTTGAAGACTCCTCTTGCCGGATAGTGTCCTGTCGGTTCTATGGACGACGGCTCCTTTACTCTTCACATTTTTCTTTCCTATATTGTTATTGGTTGGCTTTGATATTTCAATACCCCTTTGTTTTGCGTGGCCTTAGTCTACTTGTTTAATTGCATGTTTGGGTTTATTGCACTCTCTTTGACTTCTGGTGTTTGCATTTGCATCTTGTTTGTGGCCCACTTGGCTAGGACGAGCATGTTAACGACTGTCGATTCTCTGGACACGGCAAAAGTGATCTACATGGCGTGTACAAAAGCATTCGGCATGTTCTACCGAGGAATAGGTTCCTACTGGTTCCTTGTAATTAATGTCATGGCTTCTTGGAATGTGAGGAAGTCTAATCAATTTGCGCCGGAGAGAAAGCACCTTACGAAAGGGTAATCCCGAATTGACATAAGTAGACTATGTTTTCCTTTGTGTGTGGAATACAACAAACATCGGCTTGCAGAGGGTAAAGTACACACAATCAAGGTACAATCGAAAGCGATAGCGTATTTTACATAAAGAATCTAACAACACCAGAGACATACCCTCCATGTTACATGTTCAATGCCAGCCAGAAACAACCAAAATGGGAAAAGTACCAAGACCAAAAAGAATCCACTCTACAAAGTCACGACCTTGGAATCGCGATCATCTCGCCGCGCCTTGAATGAGTGAGCGAGGATGAAGCGCAGTTTCATCTACTGGGGCGCCGACATTTCAATGAATAATCTTGCCATAGAAGGGGATACCGAGAGCGCTAAGCAAAAGGCGGGCATCCTTGTCGGTTCTGGCGGAGGTGTGGATGGTGATGTGGCAACCGGGGATCATCTTGGGAGGGTACCTGGTGTTTCGAGATGTGTTAGCTAGCTTAGTCACCACGCACACGCACGTCATAAGCTTCAATGATTGCTGGGAAGGCTACTGAAAAGTGATTGGGGGGGGGGGGGGGGGGGGGGAAAAAAAAAAAAAAAAAAAAAAAAAAAAAAAAAAAAAAAAAAAAAAAAAGCGCTGCTTTTGGAACAAAGGCAAAGACACGTACATATCATAGTTGATCTCGATCTCCGGGAACAGAGCGACATGCTCGGGGTCGAGACCGAAGGTGATGTTGCCGCTGCTGTCACCGCTGCTGCCCTTGACACCCTGCCAGTCCTTGATGCGGGGCAGGACAATGTCGACCAGCTTGCCGAAGAAGTGCATCATGTTCTCGCCGTACAGGTCGGCCGTGCAGGCGACGGTGTCGCGGCCGGGGATGATCCCCCACTTCTGGACGCTGGTCCGGGACTTGAAGGTCTGCACGCGCACGTTGGAGATGGCCTGCACGGCGATACCGGCGGCGTGCAGCCAGGACGAGTTCTCCGTCGCCATGTTGACGTAGCTGTGGATGGTGATGCGCTCGAGGCGCGGGATGTTGTTGAAGTCGATGGGTTTGCGGAGCAGGCGCAGCACGTCCCCACCGCGGGGGCCCCGGAGGCTGCGGTTCTTGTGGTAGGGCGAGCTGTCGTCCCAGCTGCGGAGACGGGGCGCCTTGACGGGCGGCTTGAAGCCCGGCGGGTTGTGGACATAGAGGAGGGTGAGGATGTCCGAGGCGACGGTCGATTGCCAGGTCTGCTCGACTCGGGGAAGGGAGAATGGGCCGGGCACGTACAGTCGGGAGGAAGGGTCGGAGGGCGGAGGCGGCTGGTGAGGGTGGAGCGGACCACGGTAGTATTTGGGGGACCGGAATTGGTAACTGGTGAAGTGGGCAGTTGACTTAGCATTATGGGTATGGTTATGGTATCGTGAAGACAAATGAGGAGAACAGGCAAGAAAAGGCACTGGGAGCAACGAATCGTGTGGTCCGCAAGGAATAGTGATGGAGGAAGAGGCGCGGACAAGGGAGAGACCTACCGACTCCGGGGTAATTTGGTCTTGCGACCTCTGGCTCTGGCGATAGGATCATAAGATTGCACCAGTTCGCTGGGTGCATTTGTGGAGGCGAGGTCGGTGGATTCCAGCTCGCTCAGTTCGGCGGAGGGAGATCTCGACGATGCTTGGTCGGAGACATTGCGGCGCCAGCACAAGGTCTGAGGACGAGCAGAGGGCGCCAACGCCCGTGGCAATGACCTTGCCAAGTATCTGGAGGACTCACTGGCAGCCATTGTGAACTCCTACTCCTTTGGTGGGGGGGGAGATGGTGGTTGTAGGCTGAGATTGGAGTCGAGACTGAGATCTCCAAAAATTGTTTTTCCCGCACCGGAGATGCATCGACGACTCTTTCGGGAGTAATTGATCAGGTGACACTGGTTCCTGCTGGGTTGCCTGAACACCTTAGAGATCAGGCTGCGAGGTCAGTTCTCCACTTGTGTGATCAGTGATCACGGCTCGCCTTTCCACCCCGCCACTGGCTTATCGCAACCTAGTTGGTGAAACTGGCCACCGGAGATCTCTCTTTCGCTGTCGATCGTGTGCTACGAGTACTTGCTCATAGTATGGTCTTCTGACAGGCATCTCCTTCCTTCCCTTTCCTTGTCTATGGTCACTTTTGCCTCACTCACTCTTCATTTATTGTCTTGTTCATCTTTCATGTTATGGTGGTGGCGCATGTGATGTCACTGGCTTTCCTTTCAGCTGGTGCGTTAAGAGTTACAAGGTAACTGGCTACCCGATTTGTCTTTACTCAGTATTGGCTTAACAATGAATGAATTAAAGAGGAACGCTCACGGATCGGGACAATAAAAGGTCATCGTCGCCTAACCTGTCCCATCTGTCCCTTCTGATTTGTTTTATGACTCAATCAGGCGCTATCTTTGCATGCTCGATCGGAACCCTGGAGCCTGAGCAAGGATCAATATAGATCCCCTCCCCCCCCACATGTCGTCGGTTCCTCGTCGACTCCGCAATTTGCACGCTGCTTGCGCACTTCTTCCCCCCATCTAGCTAGGATTCATGCACCGTCGAAGATGAGTGGTATACACAAATTTCTCACGAGGCGTGAGCGAAATAAAGATGGAAAGTCTGGTAAAGACGAGGTAGACCCAATCCTTGAAAAAAAGCATCGTCAGCTCATTTTACCTTCTGTCGCAATTTGAAGCTAACGCTGTTTGCGACTCTAGACGTCGAATGTCCTGTCTCGTCCTCATTTCCGAGGTCTTTTCTCATCAGACAAACTCCCAACCACAGACTCAAATGAAGAACAAAAGAAGGTGACCACAGAAAATCCTGTCGCGCATCTGTTCCTGCTGAATACCTCGAGTTGACAGCCAAGTAGGTCAAGATTCTCGAGCAACGTGTCGCGCGACTCGGCATCACCGGCCTAAAGGAGGAACATTTCGTATATGCGATCCAGTCGGAGCATGCGCAAGGCGATGTGGACAAGGCTTTTGAGTTGCTTCTGCTCTTGGAGGATTCGATTGAGGGAATAATCAGAGGCTACACGCCAAGCACCAAACTTCGTGGCGCAGTGAATCGCGAAGGCGTTACTTGCTACCTGGACGCTCTACTCTTTGCGATGTTCGCCCGGCTGGATTGCTTCGAAGCTATTCTTTACAAATCTTTCAACGACGAGGCTCGTCGGAAACTTTCCATCTTATTAAGGCTCTGGGTCAACATGCTGCGGTCTGGAAAGCTTATCACCACCGATCTTGTAGGCAATCCTGTCTCCACACTATCTTTCGTTTCCCGCTGATTGGCGTGCTCCGCAGACAAAACACCTGCAAGATGCACTCGCTGAATGCGGTTGGCAAGATGCAGCGAGACTACGACAACAGGACACGTCCGAGGCATTCACGTTCATCACGGAAAAGCTAGAGCTTCCACTCCTGACACTCAAGATGGACATCTACCATACAGGAAAGGAGGATGTGAGTGGTGATCATAAGTTCATCAATGAAAGATTGCTAGAGGTCGCAATTCCCGAACCTGTTGATGGGGAGACAGTCACTTTGGAAGATTGCTTGGAGTCTTACTTCAACAACCGGATCGAGGTCAAGCGGTACTTGGAACGGCGCCACACGCTAGGCTCGACAAAATCTCTGGATTCCCTCTCCAAAGGCTGCACGACCCACGTCGAAGAGGTTGGCACGCCGCTGTCGCCCTCTTCCAGTCAGCCTCCTTCACCCCGTTGGGATGAAACTCCACCAGTGAACTCGTTGACGGAAGTAATCGAATCCGACCCCCCTCCCTACCGTCGCAATAGCATCCTTCAAGAGCGTTTCATACCAGACACGGACCATGAGAACGAGAAGGACAGCGTGCTTACATCTCAACGGAGGGGTTCCTATCGCAAAGAAGTGATGATGCCTGCATGGCAATTTTTCAGCCTGATACGTATGAGTTGTCAGTCCTACAGCACATCAAGGAATGCGCTAACGATGGTACAGCGTGGTATACAGACAACACACCCACCAGTGATGCCCAAGTCGCCGCACATTTCTCTTCTAAGCGTCCAATTCTAGGCATGTGCCTGAAACGCTATTCTATGCTACCCAACGGCAAAGCAGTCCGACTCAACACATTTGTTGATATTCCGACTGAGATTGGACTCCCCCATTTCATCAAGGATGACAACATGAATGAGGAAGGCCCGATCTACGGAAATTTCAAGCTCTCACTGCAGGCGATGGTGTGCCACCGTGGAACTTCAGTGGATTCAGGACATTACATATCCATCGTCAGGGGGACCAGTGCTGGAGCACCTCCAGCCAGCTCTCACGGATCCGAGGATGACACTTTCTCGGACACACCGAAGTACTGGATGCGCTTTGATGACTTAGCAAGCGAGCGAGTCACTTTGATCGACATTGAGCAGGCACTGAAAACCGAGTCGCCTTACCTCTTATTCTACCAGATCTTACCTATCCATGAAGATGCAGCCGCAGTTAACCTAGGCTACAAGCCGCCATCGTCTGAAACGTCCAGGGACTCACGTGAGCTAGAGGCGGCTAGCATGCCTAGGAAGTTACAGTCACTGGCGCTGGATGATACAGCTATCGATGGGATGGAGGGGCATAGATCCAGTCGGCCAAGTTTTGAGATCACCAGCCCAGATGGAGCAGACCGCACACCCGTGGATCACAATGGCAGAAAGCAAAGCGTGACATTCTCTGAAGCCTTCGAGCCTGGCCTTCAAATGCAGTCTGTTCCATCAACCTCGCCTATGCTGACACCGAGAGACGACGAGGGCAGGAATTCTTTCTCGTTTTCCCGACGAAGTTCCAGAGCAACAAGGAGCAATCCTGGAAGTCGTACCGGGAGTCAAGCCAGTGAGAACAGAATTAGCTTCAGCTTCTCGCGGTTTGCTGGTCGACTAAGCCGGGATAAGTTTGCCGAGGGGGAAGATGAAGAGTTGACGGAGAACGAGCTTGCTCCGAACGACCGCCTACCACCGCCCAGTATGGAGCGCAAGGACAGAAGCCCG